GAACTTGGATCTCCATTTCAGATCCAGGCAAGCTGAAAGGCTTAAGTTGATGGAGGGATGAGAAGGTATTTATCATAACAGCACAGGGAAGAGAGCACCCGGAGGGACACTCCCAGAACACTTAAGGCCAGCACATGTTTGCACACAGGCACGGGCACTCACAGATCTAGACTTACAAAACAACACTCAGATTATAGACAGGAATACTTAAAATGACCAAGACCAACGTCACTCATGCCTAGTGTGAACCCACCCTCATTCACGCTCTCACCACTTGGGGGGGAGCCCGTGAACGAGGTAGTGCTCTGGGCAGCGCTCAGGACCAGCCAAGCCCTTTTCCTCGAAGTGCACGTTCTTCAATACATCAGGTGTATTGTTTACAACGGCTACTTCTTGTTGTAGTTTAAAACAGGTTAGAGATATGCCAACAAGATGCATTATTTGGCCCTCTCCTGAGTCCTATTCTTCAGAAGGAAACGACAGAGTATTATTGGGCAAACTGACTAAACAGGAATTCAGATGACAGATTTGCTTATTTCATTGTTTCACATGTACATTAGGTAACATCATCTTCCTACCACTAGGAAATATACACTGAAGGATGGTGATAGATATGCAACTTACCCTATTGGAAGAAAAAGGTTTAAAAAACAAGGACAAAAAGGGTGGTATATCAACAAAGATTGATCTAGATATAGAACGTGTATTTCAGTACTCTTTTAACACTGTACTATTTTTATTTCATAACATTTTGTAAATTTGAAATTATTTCCCAATGAAAAAAAATCCATTTTACTTTGTAAAATGAGCCAAGGCATAATGTCCTCTAATCATGTCATAAACTTCACTAAGTCATATCTGATTTATGAATGTTTCATTCACCTGCTAATTCAAGAGTGCAAGATATACCAGAGATGGTACACTAAGGTAAACCTTCCAGCACGTCTCCCTCCCCTGACATGAGCCAGATACACTTATGTCCCCTCTGTATCTACAGGAAATATATTGAAGTATAATTGTACCATTCACTGTCCAATTTTAAATCACTTTCTCTAATAAGTACCCTGAGATCCCAGCTAGGTGATAAAAATGAAAAATGCCAGAAAATTATCCCTTTAAATACAACCCTCTCTTTCCTCTGTGTGTGTGTGTGTGTGTGTGTGTGTGTGTGTGTGTGTGTGTGTGTGTGTGTGTGTGTGTGTGTGTGTGTGTGTGTGACTGGTTTTAAGGCCTGAAGTCAGGGCTTTGGTGCTGTTCCTTAGCTCTTTTGCTCAAGGCTGGTGCTCAACCACTTGAGTCACAGCTCCACTTCCATCCCTCTCTTAATGCTTCACTAGAGTCTGGTTCCTGCCTACAGGCTTGCTGGCCTCCTTTCCTATCTGCTTTTGTGACTTCCTTTCTGCCTGCTTTGCTGATTCTTCCCTTCCCTCCTGATTTCCTTTTACCCAGGTCAGATAGTTTTTTCCCCTCTCCGCACTGTTTACACCTCCCCCATCTAGTTTCCCAATAAATCTCTGGCATGTCAAATCTTGTCTTGGTATCTGTCTTCAAAGGATCTAGACTAACAGCCTCCTATTTTTAAAGGCATCCATAGAGAACTAAGGTATTACACTTAGTCACCTTTCCTAGCCTTCATCAGTAGTACATTAAAAGGCTTCTCCAATGCAGACAAGACTTTGAAGAAGATTGGAGTGGAAAAGGTAGTTGGATAATTTTAACAGGTGATGGAATCAAATCTCCACCACAGTGCTAGCTCTGCTGCATAGTATAGAAACAGGCCTTGTTCGGGACTTGCACGGATCCCACACAAACATGCTTTACTTCTGAATACAGACAGCAACACAATAGAATGGCAACTTCCTTGATAGCTTTAACTCCCTATTTGCTTCCCCAACCGGTTGTAAATGTCGACCTCGAGGACCCGAATTCCATGTTAGCTATTCTTCCTCTCTAGGCTTACGTTGCCCACGGCCCACTTGGATTTCTACAAGTCACAAGTTCACTTCTGTTTTCTCTTGAACTGTAACTCATTCATTCCTGCTGTTGTCCTTACTAAGGTCCCAGGCCATGAGTCCTCTGCTGCACCACACACATCCATCTCAAAGTTAGCTCCTTTGAAAGCTCCTTTCAGTCTGCTTACTTTTTTTTTGTTTTGTTTTTGTTTTGTTTCGTTTTTGTTGGTCGTGGGGCTTGAACTCTGGGCCTGGGGACTGTCCCTCAGCTCTTCAGCTCAAGGCGAGCGCTCTACCACTTGAGCTACAGCACCACGTCCGGTTTTCTGGTGGTTTATTGGAGATAGGAGTCTCACGGTCTCTCCTGCCCGGGTTGGCTTTGAACCGCGATCCTCAGATCTCAGCCTCCTGAGTAGCTAGGATTACAGGCGTGAGCCACCAGCGCCCGGCTTGCTTACTTTCTTAAAAAATGGTTTCCCCCACGCCCTGGTTGTTGCCTTGCCAGCCAGCAGCTGGTTCTTCTCTGTCCCTGCAAGAATCCTACTGCTGCTGACTGGGTCTTTCCTTCTTTATCCCATTAGTCACCTAATGATATCCCTGCCGCTCAGCTTCTAAAGTTCTCCACACTGAAGCCATGGTGATTTTTCTAACAACACGGCCGTTAAGTTGTTTTGTGATGTCCTTGCATACTTTTCAAGCTCTTTTTTTCTGTAGTTGTGATAAAGCCTACAGACATTCAACTACCACCCTCACCCCCTGCTATGATGGATCTCATTCATTTTAAATAAGATTAGAGAAAAATAAGGCACCATTCAGTTCTGTAACACTGACATAGGAGAGGCCATTTTTAAATTTTGAGATCATATTTTAGAAATACAGAGATAATATACCTCATATAAAGGTACAGGATTTGCCTGGCACCAGTGGCTCATGCCTCTAATCCTTACTACTCAGGAGACTAAGATCTGAAGATCATGGTTTGAACAAAGTTACTTCAGGCAAGGAAGTCCTGAGACTTTTTATTTCCAATTAATCACAGAAAAAGCTGGAAGTAGCACTGTGGCTCAAGTGGCAGAGCACTAGCCTTGAGCAAAAGAAATCTCAGTGATGGCTCTCAGGCCCTGAGTTCAAGCCCCAGGACTGGCAAAAAAAGTTTAGATTTTAAATAAGTACTGTGGCAAGTTTTGACAAATACATAATATACCCTAACACATTAAAGAACTCTTTCATCATACCCCCCAAATTATGCTTTAATTAGGAAATGACTTAAAAATAAATTACAGGAGAGAATGATTTAAAAATATAAAATCATCCAGCACCATTGTTTTAACCCTTTACAATTAGTTCAGTGAATTTACCTTATTTTTTGTTGTTATTCCTGGGGACATACATTTTCATTTGTTGAAACATCCTTCCTCCTGATAAAAGTGATATTTAGAAACAGAGTAGATTTTAACAGAATTCCATTACCTTACCCCTAAAACATGCCAAAGCCTACCATCTATTAATCTCATAGTGATTGTCATTTCATGTTTTGTTTATTTGTCTAGTGTGTATGCACAAAACTCATTTGCAGATCTTCCTTGGCATGTAGTCTCTGGCCAGGTCCAGAGAGTTCCAGAGATATTTGTTGAATAAATACTCAATGTTAATGGCCTAGGTTAGTGACTTGTAAGACATATGTGAAGTTCAGACTTTATGCCAAGGCAAGATGCCCATTATGTTGTGTGTGTGTGTGTGTGTGTGTGTGTGTGTGTGTGTGTGTTTCTACAAATGCCATGATTAGATCTGTGCTTTAGAAAGGCAACTCAAAGCAGTGTAAAGACTATAAACAAGTGACAAAAATAGTTACAAGGATTGAGTTGGGCATACATGGTGTGTGTGTGTGTGTGTGTGTGTGTCTGTGTGTGTGTGTCTGTGTGTGTCTCTGTGCATGTATGTACATACTGGTCAGTCCTGCGGCTTAGACTTGGAGCCTGAGTGTTGTCCCTCAGATTTTACACTCAGGGCTCGTTTTCTACTGCTTGAGCCATAATTGCACTTGTGAGGGGTGGTTGATTGAAGAGTCTCACAGACGTTTTTGCCTGGGCTGGCTTTGAATCACGATCCTCAGATATCAGTCTCCTCAGTAGCTAGGATTATAGGAATGAGCCACCAATGCCCAGCTCTATGAGGTGGTTTTTGTTGTTTTTGTCAGTCATGGGGCCTGAACTCTGGGCCTGGGCGCTGTTCTCAGCTCCTCAGCTGAAGGCTAGCGCTCTAACACTGAGCCACCGTTCCAGCCCAAATATGGGGTAAAAGGAGTGGAGTTCAAACAGAGTGAAAAATTCAAAAAAAACTTTTTGAATTTAAATATTTTATTGGCTTCAATGCATATACACTTGAACAATTCACAAGTGAAGAGTGGAGACACTTGCTATTCTCATTATAGATGTTCTATAATCGTGTATTATGTTATTCTGAAATACATTTCTGTACATATTGGCTGTATGTTTTCCACTACAGGACACCTCCATTTGTTCTATTAGGATTATTTTTTCCAAACAAGTTAAATGACCTTCTCTTCTTCACAGTTTGCACCGTTTCTCACCCCTCAGTATCCTATCATCATAGTAGATTAAAATACAAATGAGAAAATTCAGTGTTGATGGCGCAGAGCATGATTTAAAAAAAAAAAAACATGCATGAATGCACCAACATATCATGTTCAATAATGGGATGACTCATTTGAGGAAATACAAACTTTTCCTGAAAAAAGTCTAAAGTATCAAATATATCAAAAATAATGTGAGTATGCTAATACGGGATTCATAAAAATACCATCTCTACTACAAGGAGCTAATACAAAACCCGTGTCATCGCTTCCCATCCTCCTTCACACGGCCCCTTCTCTGCTGACCAGTGGACTAGGAGATGTCTCTCGCTTTTGGCCCCTCCCTCATCCTAACAAGCCCAGAGAGAGTGGCGCCCAGCGGCCATGTCCCCAAGTATGTGAAGGAGGGCAGGAGCCGTGCTCTGGGCGTTAGCCTCCAGGTCTCTGGATGGCAACTACCAGAAACCGATCATTTGCGTCAGTCTATAGATGAAAGGGAAGGAGGCCTGGTTGTCCGGGCCTGCATGTTCTTGGTGCTGCTGGATGCCAGGCTGCAGCAACACCACCTGCTCTGCGGTGGGGCTGTCTTGGGGGCAAGACACCCCGGCTTCTCCTGGGGCAGGCTCCGTGTTGTCTTCAAGTTGCGCCTTAGACCTGTGCTCCTGCTCCTCCCCAACTTCCCCTTGCAAGGGCCCTGCCAGGTCTGCTGGGGCCTCTGCAGCAGGGGTAAGGTCAGCGGCCCGCCTCGAGTCCCGGCCCTCTCTTCCTTGCCCTGTCAGGCACAGTAGCAGTTCCTGCAGCTCCTTCTTCTTCTCCATCTTCTCCTGCATCAGCCGGCGGACACACTCTTCTTTCTCACGCTGCAGCTCATCCAGGACGCCCATCTGCTCTTCACAGGATGCCATCTCCTCCTCCATGGCACTGATGCATTCTGACAGCAGGCTGCAGCGACGGGGGATGTCGTCCACTGGACTCTGCTGGTCCACCTGGCCAGGCAAGTCGTAGGTGAAGCAGATCTTCAGCCTCTTTGTGGGACTCTGGCTGTCCTGCTCTCCCTCCCCAGGTGCGCTGTGGTGCCAGGTCTTGGGGTAGAGGGCCTGGCGCTCCAGCTCTGTCTGGCACTGTGCTGCCAGGTGGGCCAGGCCCTCACAGCAGGCCTGCTGCTCCTGCAGCTCACGGCTGAGCTGCGCCTTCTTAGATTCAGCAATAGATAGTGCTGCACAGTAAAAATCCCACATGGTATGTGGGTTGTCCACGTCCTCTGGGACGGTCACAGCAGGGGGAGCCGCCTCCTCCCCGTTGTCATCCACTCTGCTCACTCCTTCACCTTCTCTAGGGAGAGTCAGGAGCTTCAGCTGGGACCGCAGCTGCGCATTCTCCTGCCTCATGGCTTCCAGGCACGTCAGTGTGTCCTGGAACTTTGGAGGCACCATCCGGTCCTCCAATGTGCTCTGCACCTGCTTCTGCTGCAGCTGCTCCAGCAACTGGGTCTGCCTCCGCAGGTGCTGCTGCAGGGCCTCCTTCTCCGTGCTCAGCTGCTGATGGGTGGCCAGGTGCTGCTCACAGGTGGCTCTGAGCTCCTGCAGCTGGGCCAGAGACTGGTCCTGCAGCTCTTGGGCCTCTTGGTGCTTGGACTCAGCCATCTCCTTCCATTCTTTGAACGTCTCCTCCCGCTGCTCCAGCTTCTCCTGAAGATGTTTCTTCTCCTGCTGCTCGGCGTGCAGGAGGCCGGCAAGCGAGTCCTTCTCATTGCTCAGCCTCTGCCAGGCGTCCTGCAGCTGAGCCAGCTGCTCTTTCAGCTCGCGGTTGCACACCAGCATGTGTCTGTTGCTCTCCTGCTCCTTCTCCATCGTCTCCAGGATCTTGCACCGGTCCGAGGCATGCTGTTCCCATTCTTCCACCTTCTTCTCCAGTAGCCATAGCCGCTGCTGCTGCTCCAGGCTCTGGAGATGGAGGCTCTGGTTCTCCTCCACCTGGAGGTGAAGGTGCTCCTCCAGGGTCTCGAGCTCCTTCTGCAACTGCAGGGCATGAGCCTGCAGCCACTGCTCAGCCTGAGATGGCCCCGCAGGGCGCTGCAGCTCTGCCAGCTGCACTCTCAGCTCCACCAGCTCCCCCTCTAGTTCCAACACCTGCCTGGCCCCTTGCTCTTTCTCCTCTCTCAGCCTGCCCACCTCCTCTAAGAGCTGCCAGGCCTTCTCCTTCCCTGTACACCTCTCCACCATCAGTTCTTCCTCCAGAGAGTCTCTCTCCAGCTTGAAGGTGGTGGCCAGCTCTCTCATGCTCTGGAGTTGTCTTTCCAACTCTGCGTGCTCCACCAGCACCTGCTGACACATGTGCATTTGTATATCCATGTTGGCCTTCTGCGTCAGGAGCGCATCCAGCCTGTCCCGCAGCTCAATGTTCTCATATTCCAGGTCTTCACAGCTTCTGCTCTTCTGCTGGAGCTGAAGGGTCACATGGTTCAGGGCTTTCATGAGCTCGAGGTTGTGGAGCTCGGAGTCAGTGTCCGTGGTGGAGATCGCAGACAGCTTCATCTCCAGCTCCCTCATGCGCTGTGCTACAGCCTGCAGGCGGCTGATGAGGTGGTCCTGCTCCAGGGCTCTTCCATCGGCCACCTGCCACATGTGGGCCAGGGCAGATTGTAAACTGGATTTTTCTGAAGCCACCATCTGCACTGATAGATTGTACTGCTCCCGCTCTGCTCCCAGTGCCTCGTGCATACAGGCGGTCTCCTCCTGCCGCTCCTGCAGCTCCTTATTCTCCTGCTTCAGTAGGTCGATCTCTCTGCAGAGCTTCTCGTTTTGTATTCTGCTGGCATCGAGGGCAAGCACCAGGTGTTGGTAGCACCTTTCGAGGTCCTCGGTGGTGGAGGGACCCGGGTCACTCTTGACCCCGGCAGCTCTGACTGTGCCCAGAAGCGGGGGAGGCTCAAGGCCTGCGTGGTCTTTGGCCACACCCTCAGCTGAATGACCGTCCCCGGCGGCGTTTGTCTTGGGGTTACCTCCTTTTTTAGTCTTCTTCTTTCTCTTGGGTTCTGCAGATCCGGCAGGACCATTCCTCCGCTGGTATTCTTCCAGGAGTCTCTTTCCTGCGACTAACTTTTTCAGTCGTGTTTGTTCAGACATCCCAGCTCTGGGACGGGGAAGATGTGGGGGCCACATTCCCAGGCTCTTGGATGTCACGTCCGTTCTCCAGTCACCACCAACTATATCTACCTCGATGCACCAACTATGTCACCTCGATTCACCTCGATTTGCTCCCTCACCACTCCGTACCTCTACCTCCCTCCACGCCTGGTAGTGGTGTCAGTCAGTTGAGGGAATACCAGTGCTACTAGGCAGCATGGAAGGTGGGCGTGGCCTCTATTCTTGGATCCCATTGGTCAGAAAAACAGGGGAAAAATGGGGGTGTGTGGCCAGAATCTTGTGACCCAGGCAGAATGGGGTAGTCAAAATGACAGCTGCTCCTGTGGCCCCATCCCCACACATCCTGTCCAGTTTGGTTGGCGGCAGAGTGGGACCTCCCCTGGGAACTGGTGCATGGTTTTACAAGTCACCCTTCCTGGTTCCCAGCACACAACTGTGGTCACCAGGGTTTCCACCAGACTTCCCACTGCCCTTCAGGTCTGCAGGTGTCAGACGTCTTCAGGTCTCCATGCCATGCAGTTAGTGTTGTTCGGATCATATCTGCTGACTCTGGCATTCTGATCAGGGAGGCGCAGGTGTTTGCAGTGGCTTTGGTACACCCTGCTCCTGCAGGATCTCTGGGACTGGGCAGCACAGGGACCTCCTAGGCCCAGGGCTCCTCTCCATGAGTACTGGCATGCTGCCTTCAGCTCAGTGAGGCCATGCATAGCAAATACTTCCTAGCCTAAAGGGAGCTTGAGGCTGTGGCAATCATCTTCTTCCTACATTTCAGTGAAATCTTACTGAGCAAATGTTCCCCACACTTTGGCTGTGATCGCAGAGGGTTCAGAAACACAATCACGTGAGGACTACTACTCCTGAGTAAAGTCAGTCAGTTAGCCACACAGCCATCTGACTAGTCCCACCCAAATGCTGTCCTGTCTGTCAAGAACGCAGCTTCTGGGGTCACCTTCAACCACTCCGGAGCCCTGGGCCATTGACCGCAGCACTGGCGAGGTGGGGTGGGGGCTGAAGGGATTGGTGAGTTCATTTTGTGCAGCTGGCTTTTTCTTCCCATGAAAAGCTGTGCTGGCTGTGGTGGTCCACACCTGTGATCCCAGCAGGAGAATAAATCATGGGTTCAAAACAAGCTGGAGCTACATAGCCAGTTCAGGACTGGCCTGGGCTACAGGCCCTCAGGCTGGGGCTGTGATGGCAAGGCCCAGTCATCTTTGCTGCATTGTCATTTGCTGGCTAGCCTCCCCCCCCACTCCAGGACCCCTCCCCCAGCACAGCATATGTGACTCATGACACACACACACACCACGGTACAAAATATACTTCTAATAAGTGATTAATAATGAAGTAGAATAGAAGATTCTGTGGTTTGGGATTGAGAGGAGATTCAGAGTTGCGTTGCTGAGAAAAATTCTATCAGAGAAACATAGATCAGGCAAACTAATTTAGGACATGAAAGTGTCCAACAGGTAAATAAGCGATGAAGTGAGAATACAGATGTTGCTTCTGTGCAAATGTTTCTCCATTTGCCCATCTCTATACACTTCTCACCTTTCTTGGGGCCCCAGGACCCTTACCATTTAGGCAGCAATGTAAAGAAGTGCGCATTTCTTTTTCTCCACACAACTGTTTACCTCTTTGGGCAAAAATTTTATTCTAGGTAATTAGATCTAGTTAAAAACCTAATGGTACTAATTGATATGACCTCCAAGTTACGGAAAAAAAGAGTGTTTTTAAAAATATATATAAAGTGCTTTGGCTTATTCCCTGCTATCACTGTCTTTGATCTTGGTGCCCTGTGTCTTGTGCTTTTGTTTATCTGATTTGAGGGAGGGAAGGGGAAATCACAAAATGGTGAGACAAAGGGGAACGGGTGAATCAATGCAACAGCAATGCTCACAAGACACTATGTTGGAAATGAACTTTACAACTTGGGGTAGGGGAGGAGTCTGGAGAAGGGAAAGTGGAAGAAAACAAGGTAGGGGGTAACAGTGTTACACAAGAAATGTACTCATTACTTTACCTATATAACCATAAGCATTCTGTACATCACCTTTACAGTTGAATACAATTTTAAAAAATGCTAATGACATTTTTAGGGGAAACCACTACAGAATAGTGGCCACTTTTCTCAGAACTCTTATTTTTCTTTTCTGAAGAATGTTAGCATATTTTTTATCAGGTTGATTGATTTAGGGGTCAGATGTTCGGAGAAGTATTTCTCAGCCTTCAATTTAAAATATACACAGCTACCTGAGTTTCTGAACATCCTAGTAACAAACCTGATTTTTCCCATTTATGAATAAAAAATCTCCTATTGATTTAATGTACATGAATTAAGTTTTCAACTCAGGAAGACAGTAGATTTACAAAATTTAAACAGCAATTAGTTTGCTTCGGCTTAATAGAAAGAAGGAAGAAAACATGATGTTCTCATGTCTCTATACCTCTAATGTGACTTCCCTTTAAAAGAAATTTGTCCTCTCATAAGTCATGATTCACGTTGTAAATAAGTTCATCACTTTGCATCAATTGCTTGGTATGAAGAAGCCATAGTATCTTTATGTTTAAATTCTACTTGGTAAAAGAAAAATGCAATAGAGAAAAATTGCATATTTAACATTTATGAACCATTTCTCCCGCCTTCTGGCTAATAGCCTTGTCCAGAGAATGGCAAAAACATACATAATAATGTTGATTTTATAGCCTTGTCCAGAGAATGGCAAAAACATACATAATAATGTTGATTCTTGGTCATGGTACATTCAATCCTGATTATTGCTTCCTATTTACTGACTTTACCCTTCTAAAACTTTGCTGCTATGACATAAGAATAGAATTTGAGAAAAGAATGTCTCACACTTTCAGAATTAGTAAAGCTGTTTTTATCAAAATATAGTAGGTGTCAAGAAGAAGAAGGCTTATAGCTCAAATATTCAAATGAATGGTTTTTCTTGATACTAGATAGGTATTTCTAAGTGTACTGATTGTGTATTTCTTAAATAAGTAATTGTATTTAGTGGTGACTACAAAGGCTGAATAGTACAGTGAAGAACAGATAAACTGGTGGTCCAGAAAAAGACAGCATTCCAAATGTTTAGCAATTTCCATGGTGCAAATTTTGTCAGACATAAAACTGGCATAGCGGTTGGCTGTGGTGGACAGAGATGGGGGGGGGAGGATTGTGAGTTCAAGGTTAGCTTGAGCCACATAGTGATTTCTAAGTGGTGAGATCAAAGAAAGGGAGGATTAATTTTGTTACAAGTCATCATCTCTATTCTTTTGTTGAAAACTGCAAAATTCAGACACATCTACAGAGTACTTCAACCACTAGCTACACAATACTCACTCCTCAGCAGCCCTTAGAACATTCTTCATAAAAGGCATACAGTAAATCTTAGCAAATAAAGGAAAGTTGAAATAAGTCCCACTATTGAAACATATTTAAGAGAATGAAACCAGAAATCCACAGCTAATGATATTACCAAAAATACGCAAACACACGAACAATGAACACATGAACAATACTGATGACAATGACTGAAGATGGAAAGGGAGAATCTGAATAATCCTACAAGGTAGTCTAAATGAATAGACTGAATGTCAGAACGTTTGGGATACAGCAAGAGTACCACTAAGGGAAGAAACTTAGTAGAGCTGTGAGTATGTACCTTCCCGAGCCGAAAAAAATGTCAGGAGGATGGGGAAGAGAAAGTGAGATCTCAAAAAGCTTAATGATACACCTCAAAATGAGAAAAGAATGAGAATGCAAAATGAACAAATGTAAACAACAGGTGAAGAGGAGGAATCAAGCGAATACTGAAAAAAACTGTGCAAAGTCTTGATGGAACAAATTATGAAAAATAAGTTTTGTAACCCTGTAACATTTGTCAAAACTAAGAAAAGTGACTCAAATTAATATTAAAATTAAAAAAGGGAATGCCACAATACATTTCAATGAAAACCAAAGAATCAGGAGGAAATACTTATACTTAAAATCAAATGCCAGGAAGTGAATACTTTCCTAGATCTACCTTTTATTTTGACCTTCCTAAAATGTACCAAGAGTAAATAGTCACTTCAACAATTAGATGGATGTAGTAATGAAGAGTTGTCAAAACCAAAAAGGCCAGGTCTAGATGGATTTGCTACCAATCTATGAGAACCTTAGGGAGTAACAAACACTGTTCTGATGCCCAGATCAGCAGCTGCCTCTGCCTCCCAATCAGTGCTGGCATGCCATGCCTCTCCAACACTGCCACTTCTGTGTTGTGTTCCTTGTCTTTCCATGTCTTGTCATTATCTAAGTGCACTAGCAATGAGTGATTTTACTTATCAAAGGACATTCAGTAACAATGAGACATGCAGGACACTATGTGGAAAACAAACTTTACAACCTCGGCTGGTGGGGTGGGGGGAGGAGTTGGGGAAGGAAGGGATAGAACAGGAAAAACAAAGGATGAGGTAACAATGCTTGATAGGAAATGTACTCATTACCTTACTCATTAACTGTAACCATCTGTACAGTATGCTTACAGTCAAAAAGAACAATCAGACACCTACAAGCATGTCCACATGATGAGTACATTCTAGGTAGCATAAACTGGAGGGACTCCTTGTACAAGTAGGGATATAGGAGAGGTGGTGAGGGAAACAGTTTTGCCTCCAGTGCCACATCCTTTTCCAAATCTTCCCATGGTACAAGATCAGTCCTGCTGATGGATGCATAGAATGCCAGTTTGTATATAAACCATAATTTCTTGATCTAGTGATTAATGGAAGGGCATCAGGGCTCATTCCATATATTGGCTACAGTAAATAATGCTGTAAAAAACATGATTGTGCTGATAGATTTAGTGTAACTGTTTTCTATCATTGGGTAGCGCTATGTTAAATTTTCTGTGGAAATTCCGTACTGCTTTCTAGAGTGGAAAACAAGATTAATATCCCACCAACAGTAATGGAGGTCCCTTTTGTCCATATTCATGCCACCATTTGTTATTGTTAATTTTCTTGAT